CATCCCAGGATGATTTCATGAGACGCATGCGGAAGGACGACAAATTCAACGGCGTAAAGCACTCCTTGAATCACAACACGAGCACTGCATGTGGCAGAAGGTTGGACGTGTTGCGAACTCGCTGTGCGTAAAGAAATTTCAACCAGTGGAGTCGTCACTTTGTTCAATTTGCGGCATAACACTTCACTGATTATACAAATAGCGGCACCTGTGTCGACAAGAGCAGTTGTGGCGAAACCGTCCACAAACACGGCAATCTCGTTAGGGGGCGAAAGATGAGGCCTTCGAAATTTCGTCGGTGGCGCAGCTCTTGCCTCAGGAACTGCGACTGTTAGTTTTCCTCCTGGGCGTGGTTGGAACGGCGAAGCATGGGGGAAGGAGACCGAAGACGGGGTGAAGGAGATCGACGTCGGCTGAAGTCTGGTCGACGTGAGCGGGGGTCATGTGAATCAGGTGTCACATGCGATTCTGATTGCCGAGGTATGTTGCCGGAATGCTGCACATCATTAAAATAGAATCCACGGCGACGACAGTAGCGCGCGACATGTCCTGGAATACCGCAGTTGTAGCAGACGGGCCGGTTATCGGGAGTACGCCAAGAGTTTACAGGTGCTCGAGGTGGTGGAAAGGGCCGATTTACCGGATAAACTGAAACTGGTAACCTGTAGTAGTTGTTGGCTGGACTGTATGAAGGAAGCGGCGGTTGGGCAAGAGGTCGGCGGACGGCTTCTGCATAAGTGAGCGGTGCAGCCACTGATATTGGGGATGCGGGCGAAGGGAGAGCCTCGGCAACTTGCGTCTGAATAGCACGGCGAAGTGAGTGGTCCAGTGTTGTGGGGGTCTCGTTGATGGTGGCAACAAGAGAGAGCTGTCGAGCAACTTCTTCCCGGATGTACTGTTGAATTTGAGGCATTAACACGCTGTAGTCGGGGCCACTGCTTTTGCACTCCAAGGCCGAAATATCAGCTGTTTGCGTATTAGCGCGACGTGTAGAAACTCGTTGCGCAGCTCATCGAAACTTTGACATAACTGAATCACGGCCGTGACGGTCTGTGGGTCTTTGGCCACAAGCATATGGAAAGCGTCGTCATCAATGCCTTTCATTATATTCTTTATTCTGTCAGCCTCCGTCATCCTGGCATCAACTCGCCTACAGAGGCTGATCACATCCTCAATGTAGCTCGTGAAGCTCTCACCATTTCGCTGAAATCGTCCCCGCAGTCCCAGTTCAGCACGAAGCTTACGCATGGCTGGACGACCGAAAAACGAGGTGACGGCCTCTTTAAAAACCGACCAGGTGGGGATGTCGGCTTGGTGGTTGGTGAACCATAGGTTGGCCAAATCCGTCAAGTAGAAGATGATGTGAGTCAACTTCGCAGGGTCATCCCACTTGTTAATCCCGCTGGCATGCTCGTACTCTGCCAGCCAGTCCTCGACATCTTGATCTTCAGTGCCGTTGTATACTGGTGGGTCACACAGTCGAAGTACACCAGAACACATGACAGGTGACAGCGTGGAAGAGCCTTGTGGGGGATCGACGCGCTCGGTCATCGCGGACTGAGATGGTAGCTTACGGCTGCGGAGCTCCAGGACGTTACCCAGCACCTCCACCAAATGCAACGAGCAAGGTTGCGTAAAAACACAGGTTATTATTCCAGAAACGTTAGCCGCAACAAGCTGGTACAGGCAGGAACCTGGCAAGCACGAGCCACACACGGACATCAACGTCTTCTTTCACGCTGGCACAGAGCTGGCGCCACTATGCTTCGGTACAGTATGCTTTCTTTATAATGTAAACTGTATGCTTTCTTTATAATGAATTATTTTTATGGTACGGAATTTCCTGATTGTGCAAAGACATTGAAGGAATAATGGCTTGATTCTTTGCATCTGGCGTTGCCGTTCTGTCTTATTCCTGCTTGGTGGTTATATAGGGAAACTTAAGAGACCATCAGTCAGTAAAGGTTGTGCACAGAAAATATCTACAACATTTAACTTGAGCGGGGGGGCGGGGGGGGGGGGGGGTGTTTTCAATTGACTAACACTTTTGAATTTGCAATGCCCTGCATAGCAACTATGGGCATCTCAGGTGAACATCATGCTTCTCCGAGCCGACATAACACCGCTGTTGTGCTCAACGATTCACGAGGCAGCACAGTTCTTATGACGCATTCTTTGGTAAAATAAATTTTGTGTGCACACAACACCGTAAGAAATAAAAGCCCGCCGCGGTGGTCTAGTGGTTAAGGTACTCAGCTGCTGACTCGCAGGTGGCGGGATCGAATCCCGGCTGTCGCAGCTGCATATTCGATGGAGGCAAATATGCTGTAGGCCCGCGTGCTCAGATTTGGGTGCACGTTAAAGAACCCCAGGTGGTCGAAATTTCCGGAGCCCTCCACTACAGCGTGTTTCATAATCATATGGTAATTTTGGGACGTTAAACCCCATATATAAATCAAGGAAAAAAATGCCTAGATGATAATAAGCACTCAGGAGAGGCTCAAAATAACTATGGCTTGTTTTCTTTGCAGCTAAATCTAAAAAGCGTCAACTCCCAAGTATGACCAGATCACAAAACAAAAAAGAAAAAGGGCGGGGCGAGGGGCCCCCGTATTTTTTTTTAACCGGTTCTCTGCACTGTTAATTTGGCCCTAGTCGGCACACTCCTTTTGACCCAACTTCCCGGTTTCCCTCTCCCCAACGAGAGCTGCTTCCCTCGCCGAGGGAAGGTAACTTTTTCGGGAGCCGGGAAAGGGAAATAGTATGCACTGCCTACGAGGTGCACGGCCTTCTAAAAGAGGCTTCATTGTCTCTATCGCGAAGGGCCGACGTGTCCCCGCTACTAAACTGCCGCGCTTCCATAAAGGAAAAGGAAGCATGAACGCGTGTGCCTCCCCACAGTGTGTGTGTTTGGGGGGAGAAGATGGCCCCCGCCCCTTCTGCGAATGCCAAAACACTTCGCCTGTGGTTTATATCACGTGGTTTGAGAGCTACTGCACCCTATTGCCGCTGGTGTAGCCAAAGCCATGTAGCAAAAAGGTGATCTGCTATCGCATGGCGGGATAATTGGTCTGAGACCAATTTTTTCAAGTCGACCTTGGGGTTTGGTTTTCCAGCCACTTAGGCAGCGAAGCAAAATAAATTCAGGAAAGTTTTGCCGTATTCACTTTTTTTGAGGCCAAGTTTGAACTGGCCTTCCTCCCACAAACAAGCTGCATTGCGCCGCTTGCGTGCAGTGGTCAATGGGGCGTTCGTATCATCCGTGGTGGCTGGGGAAATCGTTTGTATAACACTGAATCATGGCTTATTTAATATAATGAATTCCATCCAAAACAATCTTAAAGTTCACATCAATTGTAATCGTATCATCGACATTCTACTGTAATAGAATGCATTGCTGCGTGATTTGGTGCATTGTCTCAAAATCGAGATTCACGCTTTAAGCTTTTTGTCAAAGTTTCTCCCGCCACCGGCACATAGGTAATATTAAAGTGCGAGCTGATCACGCTTGGTTCAGTTAAAGTACTTTCAGTGTGTTATCTCTGACTTTAGGTGAAAGACGAGGGTGTCTATAATGCCACTGCCTTTCTCCGATCACCCCTGTATGTCTATAATGCCACTGTCTTTCTCCGATCACCCTTGTATGGTTACATCGGTATTCACAGCGTACTTCTTGTTAAGTACCAGCTTACAGCGACAGTGATTCTGGCTATCGAGAAAAAAAATTGCACAAGTGGAAGCCTAACATAGTGTGGAAAGCGAAAGCGCTCTCACCCCACTTTCAAATGTGGATGTGAAATTTGAAAACATTAGTGTCATGTGTCGAAATCAAATTACAGATTAACAAAGGAGGTTGTTGACTTCCTAGAAATGAAAAAGCTGGGTGAATCCTGTGAGAGAGTATGCCACGCTCTGTCATATTAGTCTATTTTCTTATCTGTTGTCCAGTCATGTAGGGCCAATACTTATCCAGGGCAACCTTTGAATAACCTTTTCAGTTGTTAGTGCACCTCCTGTACAGGTAATTTCTCTTTATTAGGTACCTGCATTCTTTGTTTCTGCCCTCCTTGTTTACGCAAGGCTTAGTTGTTCCTCCGTATTTTAAACGGTGATTCGGCTTCCGCTAAAAGGCTGCTGAAATAGTAATTGTGCATAACCCTTCTTGTATCTGCCTGTTAGAATTATCTGCGCGAAGCACCGCAGTAAGTATATTATTTGTAGACTAAAGTGACCCAAAAATGGTTTGCTCCCATATTGAATGTGTTATTACCAGACTAGCAATGAAAAAAAAAACACATATCTAACAAAAGCAGTTGGAACTAGCAGTTTTTTTTTTTCCAGATTCAATGATACACTTAACGATTCACAACCACATTCAAAATACAACTCTTTATTTTCCGCCCCACATATTCAACATGTCCGACCCCTCTCGTTGTACTCCATCTCTCTCTTCACATATTCCCACATGCACATGTGCATCCCCTCGCATTTCACTGACACTCGTGCCATCTCAATTCTCTATCATCAACCACTCACTGTCTCTGAGACTCGCACCTAACATTGCGCACTCCTCACTTCATTTCATCTCCCACAGCTTTTACCTCAAACAAAAGTGTTTTTGTTCATTTCTGCAAAGAAGGAACAGTTTCAAAGAGTGGTTCGAAATTGTTTGAGCCATCACTGTCAGTGGAAAACATTACCGGAGGCTTTTTTCGAAGCATTTTTATCGGGTCAATGTGTGGCCAAAAGAAATTTTTATGCTTTTCAACATCTTCTCATTTACAGGCTTTTACTGCAAAAAGCCCGGCTGGCCAGTTAAGGAACACAGCTAGAAGAAAGAACATATAGTAGTGAGATGGTGATCCATGGTAACTAACTGGTGTTAAACAACACAGAAAGAAAAATGTCCCTGACATATGTGCTGTCTGCGCTGTTGGAATGTTTGTTATTATTGCCATATTCTTTTCCATGACTGATGGCAGTTTGGATTATTCATGCAGTGAGCACCGAGGTGACAAGGGATCAAGTCTACTGCTCTCAGGCATCCGTGGCTGTTCTGATGTCAGCTGTGGAACGCATGCTGGTCCGCCGGGATGCCAAGTGAGTTGCATCGCTTCACAGGCCGCAAGAGGCTGCTTTTACCCATTTTGATGCGCACTCATATTAAGAGCCTAATTGTTTAGCGTTCATTGGAAATCCTCGCTGCCATTTGTAGAGCCGTTGATGAATTAACTTTGTTTGCATGCCATCGAAAAAGCACTTTGAAGGAGAAGAATTTCGCTCCAAGATTTGCTTGTGTGACATTTGCTTTTGTAAACACAGACAGCCAGGGAGGCTGTATCTCATATGCGCCTGTACTTGGCTGTACCCCACGCATGTGGCACAAATTCCAGAGTGATGGTGTTGCAGCTGGATGTAAAAGTGAGCCCAGGCCTTCTAATTGTCCTTCTTTAATTGCAGCAGCTGTGTTGCACCAGTAGGTTTCATAATTTGTCATTTAACTGATGCTTGCTCACTTTACTCCACAGCCGAAAGACCGTGGCAGAGAGTGTGCAAGTGTTGACATTTTTGTGAATCATTTGATGCCTTATTCTTACCTAACTCTGGGAAGATCTTAGGGGTAGATAGCTGGCTTAGCTTGTGCAGTATGTTCGTAAAGTTAAGCGCGGCACTGAAATGACTAGGACGGGACAGCACTTGTGTGTGTTTTGTCCCTGCCCATCCTCGTCGTTTCGGTGCTGCGCTTAACTTTATGAATCTGGAAAGATGCTTGCTAATGCTGGGGACATACGTAGTGGGGGTCCGACTGTGCCAATTGCGCCATTTTGCTATAATACTATATCGCTGCACCTTGCTGCGCTCATTCGAGTACAGCTTGCACCAACTGCGCCAGACTTCACTAGTTCACCTGTTTGCACAGCATGGGATCGTTTATGGCCCAAAAATATTCTTTTTTTGGCAACAAACTCAGCTAGAGCTACTTTATAATGCTGCTGATTCCCTCGACCATCTCTATACCAGCAATGCACTTTTTGCTTCTTGTCATTATAATCAGCTTAAAGGAACGACCTATCGTCCTTCATCGCTTTTTATCGAAAAAACAAAAAACGTACCGTCTGAAGTGACCATCCTTGCAACGGTTTCTCTAGAAAGTGAGTAGAAATTCGCAAAACGAAATTTTTCAATCTGTCTTCTATCTTCCATTGGCGAGGTGAACGTCCACAACACTGGTTGTAAAAGATGATGGTGATCGTAGTGCCGGGGAAACTAAAAAACTGGAACAATGTACAGTTTTTTTCCAGTTTTGTTCGAGGTTTGTTTTATAATGAAACTGATACCGTAGTGGTCGTTAAAGCATGCAAATCCTCAAATAAAGTATTGTTTTACCATGTTTTTTTGCAGCTTTGTTTAGTCAGCCTGAAAAACCAGCGCAGTTGTGTTGAAAAGTTTGTCTGTTCTGGCTACACTGGCACATCAGCATTGTGAAACGAACATAAAACGTGTTTCACAAAAGAACAGAAGGTTCCTGTTATCTGTTACCTTATCTGTTCCTATCACCTTTAAGTAATGTTGAAAGGTGTTGTATAGCATATGTGTTATGAGGTGTTGTGTAGCATATGTGTTATGTAAAACCACGGTGAATACTGGTGTGCAATTTACGCATGAGGACTCGTGCATCGTTACGAGACTACGTTGAATTCACTGGCATGGTTAGAAAATTTCACTAAGTCAGTCACGCTGCTATTTGCCAAAGTAATGAGTTTTTGTTCTTGTGAGCCACGCCGCTCATAGCCGCCAACGGCGCCACTGTGCGCCTGTTTGAACTTGTGAGAATAAAAGCAATAAATACTCTCTGGTGCCATCTAAAGGTGCCTCAAGTGCATAAAGTATAATATCAAGTTATGCATGTTTGTTATTTAGTAAAATATGTCTACTTTCGAGGATTTCTTGTTCTACCAGTAGGTTGACCACATCACTGTTCGGTGACGCTAGCGGCAATTCTTTGTCAACTTTCAACATCAAGTTGAAGTTATATTTTCTTTTTTTTATGGAGTAAAAGCATGCTCGTTGCCGCCATCGGGATAAAGGATCTCATTTTTGCCACAATCACGAAAAAATTTTCAAGCAGTGGACAGTCCCTTTAATCAAAGTCTCTGCTGCACTGCATGTGCCTTCATTATTGAAAGTTTAGTGTGCTTTCAATAGTCTCTCTTAATTGTAGTGGAGTTCACGATAACGCGTAGAAAAGGGATTTTTCGCGTTTGCGAGTCACCCCTCGCCCTGTAATTTAGCCGCTTCAGCCAAGCGGCAACCCATTTACACTGCACAATGTAAACGGTGTCATCACGCAAATGAAGATTCAGCCGTGCAAAAGTTTGTTTGATATTTTGTAAAAAAAAGTATATGCCTCTAAATTGCATTGCACATCATTTTTCATTCTGCCTATTGCAAAAAAGCTAAGCTAAATGGCCATATTGAGTGCATCTGGCACTGGTGCAGCTGCTTCTTGCACGTGTCCGAAGATCGTTGTAAGTTGTGCCTCCAAACATAAAATGTTTGGAGGTAAGGGAAATGAAGGTCTCCATATTTCAGGGCCCTGACGCTGTGGAAGGGTTTGCGGCTTGGTCATTTCAACTTTCTGCAGGCCGCTCAGGCAGCAGAGTTTTGTGGTCACCATGTAGTTGCTGTACAGTGCGTGGAGCTGTGGTGCGACACGCAGGCTCGGTAAGTGCATTGATATTCCAAGCTTTTTTGAAACTGTTCTTGCCTCATCCAGGAGCCTAGTGTAAGAAATATCTGTTTACTGATTGCACTTATGTATAGAAAGCGTACACACTTAAGAAACAATCGCTTCATAAGATGTTGTTTATAGCTCCTCTGATTTTAACTTGCCTAAGAGCATTCACTGTCATGTGTACAGTGGGTTCAATAAAATCATTTTAGTGTGACTGTTTGTTTGCTTCTTTTTTGCCCGTGATCCACATTTGGATAGCTTGTGAAGTCACCGTTAATCATTTCAGTTTGTGCGGGTGCTAACACCCCCTGCAAAGTCATTTGCACCTTAGAGCACACCATACAAAGGCGACAAAGCGTGTGTGTGTGTGTACATTCTTTTGAGTGTCATCATCTTCATGCCATTTGCCTCAGGACTAGGCTTGTGCGAATATTTGAATGCTTCAAATATTTGAACGGATTGTAGACTATTTGAATTCGATTGGATTCAATGGGATTAGAGTTTAAATTATTGAAAATTTCAAAGTATTCGCAATGAACGAATAAGTATATAAATGTCCTCATGTAATCACTTGTAAAGATGGTTTCACTGCAGTGTAGGGTTGCTAAGCCATGAAAGCACCTATATAGAGGAAATATGCTTTGCCGCGAAGCCCCCCTTCAAATTTAAAGGGACCCTGCAACACTTACTGAGCATGGTCAGAAAATGCTGACGATCGATAGTCGAGGCTACCGAGAACAAGTGAGGCAAATATTATAGCACAGTACGTGGCCTGAAATTCACAATGCATTCTCAAAGTCAGCTAAAAAAACCTCTCTTCCCTTGGCAAATGACACCATAAGTTCAAAGACAACTTGTCGCAGCTCTTGACCAACTTGAGTATGGCGCGCTTGGTCGTTACTGTGGCCGCAGGTGGAGCCCGCCGCTTGTCCTCGCGTACATGCGCCATTGCACCGAAAGGCCAGATATTTAAAGAAAAAAAAATTACAGAGAGAGAAAAAGTGCTCAAAGTCATGAGGCACATGTGGCAATTTTACTTTCCCTGCACCATTCCTCTTCGCATAGCTTTTAGCTCTTTCGTCGGGACGAGAAGAAAGAATGCAATTGCAGTGTGGGACAAATCTATGGAACTCTGCTCATACTGGACTGATTCTAAGAATTTTGTGGTGTTGAATTCGTGAGGCAATAAGCTTCTTTAGGGGCTCTATAGGTACTTGAAAAAGTGTTTCAGGGCCTCTTTAAATAAACACGTTACCCTCAAATCAATTCATTATTTTATTACGTTTAAAAGCTTGTTATGATGGTTTACATGCCCTAAGTATAATACATTTTAAAATGTTACATATTTTACTGGTTATCACCTGCATCCTACCGAAACTCAAACCCCGCTACTACTCAAGGTTGTTTCAACTTCTTTTGAATGAAAAAAAAAGACATTTGCATGGAGCCTCTATTTTAATTTAAAGAATACATTGTGCAGGTTACTTATGTCATGATAAATATTCTCATTTTTTTATATGTGATACATCTCGTTCGAATTGGTTTCAAACCTGAAATTCACTATTCGCACAAGCCTACTCAGGACTTTTCATCAATGCACATGACTGTGGCACGAAAGAATTGAACGAGATGGCAGTCCGGTTCGTTGGCACAGGACGTCGGAGGATGGCGGATTGCTGTACTGGAGTGCTGCGGAGGCGGCACCCGTGCAGTCGGTGCTGGTTTCCTCCTTGTCGGGTCTTGGAGACTTGGATGCCCTGACTGGATGCAGGTGCCTTGCATTGGGGGTGCACTTCTCGCTGTGGCGTCACTGGGCGGAGCAACAGGGCGCTCAGTGGCCAACACTCTTGGCTCAGGCTGATCTCGAGGCCACGGGACGCAACGTCCGCCTCGGCCACGTGGGTCTTGCGTCATCTTTCATTAAACGCCAGTTTGTAGTTAACGGTCGTTTATCTTGTTCCGGCTTAGCTCTGGTACAGAAAAATGAAAAATAATACTTGCAAACCATTTTGGCATGGGCAACTTTGACACATTCTGGGTTGACACAGCTGCGCATATTGTGCATTTTTGATACGCTTCCGTTTTTTTGCGCCAAGCTGCTCCAGAAATATAAAAATCGCAAAAATTTTGTCGAAGTGCTCTAAAACAGCCCTAAAAGCAAAAATTTTGATGCCAACCTCAGCTCCAGTGGGGGAAAAAAGCTGAATTATAGTGGACTAGAATTAGCTAAGTTGACGGGATTTTACCAGCAGCACTAGGAATACCAAGAAAACAAGACTTGCCCAAGCATGTTTTTTACTTTGCACAGTGATGCCATGATCATCTCTGTACTCTTGCAAATATGCGTGACCTTGCAAAAATATACTGCCATATATCGAGTGCGCCACTGCTTCTTCTAGCTGGGCTGGGTGTTTCGGCGCCACTTTCGCTTAGGCAAAACTGCTAGCCACACTAACCGAGTGACATGCGTTGCGGGGTTGATTCTGGAATTCTTTGTTGTGCGTAGCTCTTTCCTCCGGTCGCTGTGGCTTACGTATTGACGCTGCTGCATGCCAATCACCTGGGCGTGCGTCTGCCGTGAGCAAGTACTTTGTTGTGTAAACGTGGAATGATCCCCCTGCATGTGAAGAGTACGTGTCCTGGACGCTCTGGCGCATGGGTTCTCAAACTGGGTTTTGTGAGCAACAGAACACCTGCAGCACATTCCCAGTTAACCCCCATTAGGGACTAATTTATTAATACAACTGAGTTGTCATTGCATTTCAAAAAGTCATCTCTTGCCTAATCCGCACATCGGTGTCTGCAAGTGTTGAGAGACCCATTAAACACAAACTTGTACAATTTGCGAGTGCGTGGTGACAAAAAGTGCATTCAAATCAGTATAAACGATATTAACGGGCACCTAGGTGCTTTATTCGTGACTCATGACACGTCGGCGATCATGTGACACAGTTTTCATAAACGTTGATTTGCCACTGCTTCGTTTTGTAATCAAAAGCCGCACGAGTGCTTTAGGAAGCGTCGCTGCATGCTTGCGCTGGGCTACACGAGAATTTACGCTTAGCTTTATGTCCGAATGGTGTGACGGTTGGCAGCTGTTCTGCAGTGTGACTGGCATACCTCCTTTCTTTCGTTTTCTTTTTATTCTTTGGTTTTTTTTTTTTCTTCAACAATCTGGTCTCTGCGTTCCGCGGTTCGTTTGCGTAAAGCAAAGAGCTTTACGCGATTCACGGAGCGGTGCAGGTGGCATTTGCAAGGATTTCTACATGAACTGTGCTAGAACAGGCTAACCTAGGCAGTATTAATAATGCCTGGTTGCGTGCATCGAGTGGCGTTATCACCTAGTACCATATTTGCTTATCACTTCATGCCATATGCACTCGCATTACGAGGTAGTCGATGCGGTGTGGTTTCTTGGCTCCCGCGTCGTGCTCTTAGAAACGGTCAAGCGGGAGGTGGCCCCAAACAGCGATGCAGCACACTTTTGTTGTCTGTTAAAAGCTTGCAGTGCACTGGGGGAGGAGGGGCATGTTATGCTAACTACGCAGCTGAGCAGAGAGAGAAACAGACTTACAAAAAGTCGGCTCAGTAATATGCTAAATTATGTCACTGTTGTTAAGGGAAGGCCCATGGTTACGTAACTATGATTTTTGTGCAATCATAATTTTTAAATTCTTTCTGATGGTGATCCGTTTTTCTTTTTCAAATGTTTTCGTGGAACCTAATTTTCACTACTTCTTTTTTATTATTTCACATGTTTCTTACAAATAGTAACGCAGTTCATACCTGGCGATATCTGCAGATGACGTGATAAGGTTGTCTGCGATGAGTTAAAATGGCACATTCACTGCCACCCGCCTCCTCGCCTTTGCTCTTTTCTGAACTGCGCCGTAGTTTTTATCGTTGAACGACTGGTTTCTGCTGTTACTGAAAGGTGTAAGACCTTTTGCGGCACATTGTGGTGTCGGCGGGTTGAGCATTGCAGTGAACTTTTATGCGAAATTTATCGCTTCTCACATTTATGGCTTCTTGTGTTCGAAGACATTGTTTGGTTCATCATCGGCGGTGATGCTTAGTGTGTAAGCTTGTTACTTGCTGTCCTGGAATTAGTGATCACTTGCTGCTCAATTTTCACATTAAAACTACTGCTTCAGCGCGCTCTAAAAAATGTAAAACCATTCTTGACTACAACAGAGCCAACTTCAATGCACTCAATAACGAACTTCACGAGTTTACAGATGTATTCTTGAGAAGATTTGACAACTCTGTAGAAGTTAACTGGAACATGTTTGAAGCTAAAGCTCACGAACTCAGATAAATACATGCCGAAGCAAGGCATCACCACGCATGCTCAAGCACCATGGTACAACGTATCTAATGTGCTTCCGTCTATGCTTTCTTCAGACTTCAAAAAATTTTGGCGTACCATAAACCCTCCTTCTGATGACACCATCACCTTAAACGACACATCTGGTGAACCAGTTCCCAGCAGTCTTTGTGCTATGCTTCTCAACGATACATTCGTAAAAAACTTTTCTGCGGCGTCTACTGTTGCGAAGCCTCCAACTCAAGCACTCAGTTGCGCAGCTATGCCTTCAGTACAAATCGATGTTTCCGGTATCTTTAAACTTATCACTCACATAAATAATTCCTCACGTCCTGGCTTTGATGACCTAAGCACAAAATTTTTGAAAAATACTGGTGTTTATTGTTCTATCATATTTACAAAAATATTTCAGCAATCTTTGGCCACGGGTACGCTTCCTAAGAAATGGAAAATAGGAAAGGTGATTCCAGTTTATAAGTCCGACAATAAAAATATTCTATGTAATTATCGCCCCATTTCTCTAACCAGTAACTGCTGCAAAATACTAAAACATGTAATCTACAGTAATTTGGTTAACTGTCTAAAATCCAACTCGTTTTTCGCAGAAGCCCAACACGGTTTTCGCAAATCGTACTCCTGTGAAACCCAACTAATTTACTTTACTCACAAATTACATCAAATTTTAGATAGGTCTTCGCATGCTGACTGCATATTTTTATATGTTTCAAAGGCATTCGATAAGGTTTGACATGGGCTACTACTTCACAAACTAAATCAATTAAACATTGACAGAAGTTTGTTGACTTGGATTGAATATTTTTTGACTGACCGTTTGTAGTTTGTTGTCCCTAATCAATCTTGCTCTCCATTTAGCCCTGTTTATTCAGGTGTGCCGCAGGGATCCGTCCTTGGGCCCCTCTTGTTTCTTATTTATATTAATGACTTGCCTTCTTTGTTGAAATCTAATGTCCTTTTGTTTGCTGATTACTGTGTTATTTTCCGTGAAATAACCTCTGATAACGACGCTACCATTTTGCAGTCTGATTTGAATTCTGTCGTTAATTGGTCGAAAACTTGGCTAATGGAACTCAACACTAACAAATGCAAGACAGTGCATGTTTCTCGTACTAAAACCAACCCATCACAATATTCTCTTAACAATATCCAATTAAAATCAGTTGCTTCCTACAAATACCTTGGCATTCACATCACCACGAACTTAACCTGGAACTTTCATATTGAGCATATTGTTAAGCAAGCTAACCACATGTTGGGTTACTTGCACCGCAATTTTTTTACAGCTCCCTCATCACTCAAATGATTGCTCTACAAAACATTAGTTCGTTCCAAACTGGAATATGCATGTCATGGAAAACTATGCATGTCACAGAAAACTTATAACTGCACTAGAACTTGTTCAAAATAACTCTGTTAGATTTGTGCTAGCATCGAACCGCGAGCATTACTAGAATGAAATCTGATTTAGCCCTCCCATCTCTCTCCATTAGGCGTCAAATTTCGCAACTATTTTTCATAAGCTGTATCACCACCCCATGCTGCGTGGCGAGCTTATACGTAGGCCACACTATTAATCAAGTCGTGTTGACCATGCCCGCAAAGTTGGAATTGATATGTGCAAAACAATGCATTGCTTTCATTCCTTCTTGCCCCGGACAAGTTGCGACTGGAATCGCCTTCCTTTTTACACTGCTTCTATTAATGACGTCCAACAGTTTCGAAATGTTCTAGCTAACATTGTATAATCAGGAGTTCTTCTAATCTTTTTTAATTACATTGTGTTAATGATGTTATTGTATGTTGTATGTGCTTTTTTCTCTCTTTTTTTGTTATTCCTTGCTCTCACACCACTCCCCTCTGTAATGCCTTTGGCCCTGAGGGTATCATAAATAAATAAATAAGTAAGTACTGTCTTTTTTTTAGAATGTAGGAGCTCCATTCTCTACTTTCTTGTTTGTAAAAAAGCCCATCAATGACAACCATTTAGTAGCACAATTGGCAAAAGTGTACAGTAGAATCTGAACGATACGATTGCGGTTTGTGCAAATTTCATGATAATATAAATTTTAAAGCTCCTTCGAATGGATTACATTATATAAAATATGCCATGATCCGGTGTTATACGAACAGTTTCCTCTGCAACTGCGGATGATACGAACAAGCGACTTACCGCTGCACGCAAGCGGTGTAATGTGGCTTGTTTGTGAGAGGAAGGCCCGTTCACATTTTGCCTCAAATGTAGCTAATGTGGCAAAACACACCGGAATTTTTCTCGTTTCACCACCAGAAAAGTGACCAAAAAGCGATGCGGCGAGAAAAATCAGTCGAGACCGATTTTGCCGCCACGCCATCGCCGATCAACTTTTTGCTACTGCTTTGGCTACACCGGCTGCGCTAGCTATCAAACTACGTGATGTAAACAACTAGCCGTACATTGAAAATGGCGGCCAAGGCGTCAGCGGGGTTGGTGCCTCGTGTCGACGCAATCGCAAACTACTCGTGCAGCACGACAAAGCTCATGACCTTGAAAAGGACACGTTCATCGAGAGCCTAGATTGAATTACAATCGCTGTGAACACCGGAAGTAGAAGGTGCAGCAGCAGCGTGTAGGCATGCCCTAACGTGTCTATCTTTTGCACTGCTGGCTGAATCCATCACTACCGCTTCCGGTGCATCTGCTTGTGTCGTTTGTTCTGACGTACCTCCCAAAACAATGTTTGTAAAGGTGTAAACTGTTTCTTTTCCGTCCTCGGTGGGTATTTTAATGCTCAGGAATGAATTCTCAAGCGGCAAAGATGGCAGTGGTGGCATATATATGAGGGTATGAGGGGCAGAACGAATGTGAACATTTTTTATGGGCGCGGATGTGGTCTTGCAGCCGCTCTGGCGTTTTGGCTTGAATTGTGTTGGACTGGTGTTTTTTCATATCAACTTCAGGGCGTGTTTTTCCGGCTGTGAAAGCGGCAAAGCAAGTGAATTTTTATTGAGTTTGCCGCTTTTGCTTCCTTTGATGCCAAGTGTGAACGCGCCGTATAGCGCCAGCAGCATGAGTGAGGAAACCGTGGCATTTTATTGAGAGGCTGTGAGGGCAGAAAAGTTCTAAAGGACATCATGGACTTTTTTTCAGGAAGAAGTAGTGGACCACAATAAAGTTCTTGTTCATCTTCATGATCACCTTCAACTTGTTTTTTTGTTGATACGCATTTGGGATGATACGAATATTTTGCGTGCTTCCTTCGAATTCGTATCATCGAGATTCTATTGTATGAATTAGACAGAGTCAAAATTTACCTATCCGCCCGTACTAGAAGAGACACGTCAGGCACCTAGTATAGAATGTGTTTCAAATCTTGTTTTATGATGGCCAACATTCATTTTCTTTCCACGGGTGCCATTAGGCTTTGAAGCAATGTGGACTGTACAACACGCTGACTGCCTACCTGGAACCTGGCACTCCAGACTTGGCTGAGCTGCAAGCTGAATGTGCCTGGAGATTGGCTAACTGGGATTGCCGCCTGTCCAAGAACGACCAAGGGTAAACATGAATTGTTGTTCCTCGGCCAGCCAAATTTACATCACATTCATACTGCTTGCTGACAGATGCAAACTTATGCTCTTTGTGATTGGAAAATTTTACAGCCACAGTGACATTCTCGTTCATTGAAACACAGCACACAGGTCCTACCTATTTTACAGTCCAATGAATACAATAAGAGCTGTTTCACAATATGTTCCATTGTGTTCGTTAGCAAAAGAATAAGCATTAACATTGGCTATTTAGCTGTGGAGCATGAAAGAGAGTCCCAATAAAAAGAAAACTGATGTTTAGAGTCCTAGACTGGAATCTTGTTGTTATGAGTACCACATTAGCAATTTAAAAATTTTTTTCAACTCCCTGCCCCGAGTGTTCATAGTTTTACAACACCTTTCTGTACCTACGTTCATGGCACCTTTCATTGTCTGCAGTGCATGTGTGGTGTCACTGCTTTGCAATTCCTTCACTGGCAGTCTGTTTGTATGTACACAAGGTTATTGTGGCACCCGGTATTCCTTCCCATTGAGGAGTTGACACGGTGTTCCAAATCTTTAAACGGCTTGAAAGTATGGTGCCAGGGCACCTAGCGGGCTTATTCATTGAGGTGTGCTTTACATCATTTGCGAAGTGATAAATAGAGGTGTGCGAATATTTGTAAGTTCAAATATTTTTCTAATTGTCTAATTCGGTTCAATTTGCACCACAATTTTACTATATTTAAACTATTTGAATTTCTTAAAGACATATGACATCGTCAAATTCAAAACAATCTCTTCAGAGTTTTAATATGCTTTACTTCATTACATTCACGTATTGTGGCAAAGCTGTTTTTTAGGCTCTATGACAATAGGAAATGTATTGGTATACCCATAAAAACGCTGGTTCCAATATGGAAATCGTAGATATGACTGGGGGGGGGGGGGGGGGGGTTCAACGTTATTTTGAACCTGAAACTTGGGCGGGAAGTCCAAAAAATCCTGCACCAAAAATTTTTAGCATCCAAAATTTGAAAGATTTTTATATACTGATGTCTACAAAACAAGATTTGGAACTCCGAACTTGAAGGAAGCGCACCCTTTTCCACCATATTAGTTGGGCATCCATAGAAATTGAAGGAGCAAGAAAGGATTTTGCATCTTTGCCTTTCACACATAAAGTATTGTCGGCAACAGTTTAGTTGCACCAGAACATGTGCATAAATACCATTCAGGCTTTGCATTCCTCATTTTTGATAAGACAACTATGAAACACAACCCTACCAGTGCTTCATCGCCCTAGTGAAAAGAAACACTTTTATGTTGCTATCTCATAAGAATACACTTGTGAATCCTATCCAACTTTTTATCCCCCCAATTTCGCTTCAAATTATTCTAAAAACATTCAAATAATATTAAAAAAATATTTGAATATTCGAGAAATTCTATTCATGCTCTAACTTCAATTTTCAAATTTGCCTTACACTTAAAATTTTGCTGTTGTACAGCTCTACCATTTCGCTAGAGCTCTTAGCTCTGGTGCGGCGTCTCTTAGCCACATTCCACGCAAATATGGTCCTTCGTTCTTTGGATGGCACCTCTGCAATTTTTTAAATATTATTATTAGATGTATTTAAGAAGAGCCTCTGCAGTTATTGGTGATGACAAAACGTCAAGTACAGTCCAAGTAGAGCTCAAGTATATGGACATTATATTAAACGAAGTGACAGATTGTCTATGTAGACACAACAGTGGCTTTTGACAGTTGTATGGTGTGTCAAATTCACATGAACAAATTCTAGGAAAACAGCACCAAACAATTTTTTTTATTCTGGTATATACAGTCAAATTTCGATAATTCGAACTCGAAGGGGCCCGAAAATTTGTTCGAAATAATGAAAGCTAAGTCAATGGAGGGGTCCCCATGCAGTGGCGTATGTGCACTGAGCTAACACACGAGGAAGAAGGTTAAGAAGACTTACCTTTATTCACAAATCACAGGACATCCGTCAATAATTGAAATAATCGGTGATGCACGTCTGCGCACGTTTGCCTTGCAGCGAGTCAATCAATTTCACACACTGCTTGCAAAGCATGTCTACTTCGGCTTCAGCATTCTCCTGGCAAGAGAAGTTGCGCATGGCTATGTCCAGTGCCGACACTCAAAGACAACGACAACTATATCGCCGCTACCACCCTCTCCAAAGCCGCAGCGTGGCCAGCAGGTGACAAGAAAGGAGGAGCGTCTCCACGGGGAAAGAAACAGATCGGCATTTGAGATAAACCAACACTCCACGGCGGTTTTTTTTTTTGCTCTCTTCGCGCGTGTCGTTAATAGGAGAATGGTTACGTCGCAGGGACTGGAAAGGGGGAAGCGTGGCACCGGTGCATGAGAGAGAACCGCACTCTGCGACAGCTTTTTTTTTCTCTTTCTCTCTTTGCGCGTGGCGTTGAAAAGAGAAGGGTCTTTACGTGGCAAAGGCGGAAAAGGGAGAAGCGTGACACGGGCGCGTTGCAAATCGGCATTTGAGAGAGAACAAACGTTCCACCACAGCCTTTTCTTTCTTTTTTCTTTCCTTTGCACTCAGTGTTGAGGTGTCAGAAGTGCGGCCGCGGCATTGGGCGGGGTACTGAGAGCATTTTGGGAGCGTGGTATGTTCGAATTATCCGTCGAAAGTGCTTGCGCGTTTGAATTACCGGCTGTTTTCGCCCATTAAAATACACATAGCTTTTACAGGACCTCATTGTGAGTTTGAATTAACTGGAAGTTCAAATTAAGCGTGTTCGAATGAATGAGATTCGACTGTACTTGCCCTTAAGGCATAATATTTTGTGCGTATATGTGTATTAAATGTACGCCATTAGAGCAGTGCTGTTTTTGAAGTGAAGTAGTGTCTTGTGAAATGTGTTGTTGTGGTGTTCTTGGGCCCTCAGACGCAGAAACCCAAGACAAAGACAAGAAAAACATTTATCGACTTCACACACGAAGCACTCGCAACACTGTGGCTATCTGTACAACACACTGGCTCCATAACTCAGTCATACAGTCCTTATGTCTACGCGCACGGGAGTAACTCATGCATCCTCACTACTCGGAAGTCTAATTCCGTTGGGTGCCACTCACGCTCCCGCTAAAGATGACGGTGTCGACAACGCAACCTCGCCACGAGAAGGTTGCCAAGTACACAGGAGCTCTCGAGCAGACCATCAGCTGCTCGTGCTGCACCAGGCGGCCCCACGTTGCGGCCGACGCAACACCGAGGTCACGCCTTCAATTGGCGGTTATGCCGGACCGGCGCCGACGTGGCACCGTGGCCACGATCTCGGTGACTGGTTGTGCCGGACCCGAGTCTGGACGGGTTCAGCCGCTTGACTTGGCCTGCACGCTCATCCGCCACAGGAACAGCATGTCAGGCCCGGCCCGGAACCGCCACTCGCCTCAGGAACACGCCACGCGCGTCCCGGTTTGGTTGGTGACACCGGCTCGTCTGTTCGGTCCCCTGAGGCCCAACGCTTAGCGCTCTTGCTAGCTGGCCGCACTCTTCCTCTGCCCATCGCTGTTCCGAAGCTCACGCGCTCACGGTCGTCTGACCCTGCTTTCTCGTCTTCATTTGCGTCAACACTTTTTTTCGCATTTTCATTTTTGGTTTCTTACTACACTCCCCCCAACTTTCAGTACGTTGTGTCGTGGAAAGCTTTAGTGTTGACGCGACACAACGGAACACAGCAATAACAGGACCAATCACTGGCACATGCAGAAATGTCAGCATTGCAAGCATTTGTCACAAAACACTGCGCGACACTTGCTCTGCACACTATCACGTGAGGTTGATGCACTTCTTTCACGTTTGAACACGGTCGGCAGTGTCGCGTACTACCACAAACCTGCGTACCGTACTTGCTCCGCACACTATCACGGGAGGTTGATGCACTTCTTTCATATTTGAACACTGTCGGCAGTGACGCGTACTACCACACACCTGCGTACCGTGTATGCGCCACAACCAGGTGCGCTCATACTACTTGCTCTAAATATAAAGCACACGCCGACACTCAGCACCACAACGCAAGATTCACAACACAGGTGTCTCGTCACAGTGGCAACACCGCACCATACTTCTAGTCAGCGTCAATAAGTATTGTCACGTTGCTGGTACGTTTTGCTCTGGTGTCGTCGATAATGACACTGGAAAGACGGTGTTCGCATCGATGGCAAAGGCGGCGATGGTGACTACTGCACTGCGTCACAGAGGATCCTCGTGCCATCGTTATAAAGCCTAAGAAGCTCCGGCCGATTTCGAATGCACCAGCTGCTTCTGCATTGCTCAAACTAGGCATGCTGCCTGGCTCGTCAGCGTAGCGGTACCCTGGGCGTTGGGTCATGAGACGACCACATGTCATCTTGTAGGGTGACTATACTGTGGAAACGCGTCACACCTGGTCGCGATTTCCGCCATGGCGAGGCCGAAAGCAGTGAAGATCCATCCGGACGTGCCCATGTTTGCCATAGCATCGCGCATGCCATCTGGGTGTCGCTGTCTGCTACAATAGCACTGCTGTCACTCGGCCCGGTCCTTGGTGCACGGGGTTGTTTGGTGGTTTCACTCACGGTGATCTGATATCCTCGCTTTCCTTGACGACCTTTTGACTTCTTCGGCGTTATTTCGTCGATGTCCGCGCATAGACTGGAATTGCCCGTCTTGTTGTCTCTCATGCTAAAGGTGTCCAGTGATAGGGCTCCTCTGATGTTTCCAAGGACAGCATCAAAAAGTGAATCACACAGGCAGTGCGCACAAACTTGTCCCTTGAAAATAGGCGTATTGAGGTAGACCACAGCTTCTGGTAGGTATCGCACAGTGCTGTCCAGTAAGTACACTGGGCTCGTCGCTCCCATGAACTTCTTCGGAACCAAGGATTGCCGCACGACGACCGTGTTGCAGCCAGTGTCTCAAAGTACATGCACTGGTCTGTTCTCTAGGAACCCCTCCTCGACAGGCATGTCAGCGACTCCAACGTTCGCGGATCGTCGACTTGATGTGGCATTGATGATGGGTATTGCTCCGCCATCTTGGAGAACAATGTAGCCACTCTTATGCTGATCAGGTGTCAAATCTTCACATTTTTCCGACATCATACATGATGCCTTGTCTTTGCCAAATTTTTTATTGGAGCATCTGTCAGTGCTGTGTCCACTTTGTTTACATACTCCGCATCAGCTGGAAGTATTTCCTTTTGTGCGGAACTAGCAGTCGGCTGCGCGATGGCCTGCCTTGTCACACCGAAAACAGCGACTTGCAGGCTTCTCCGTCTTCTATGCGGACTCCGGCTTGGACACCGAAGGCCCCGGATCCTTTGGAATTAGTTCTCTTCCTAAGTTTGTGAGCGCCTGTGCTTCCGTGAAGTTATCGGCAGCCTCGCACAGCGACTTCAGGGTTTTGCAAATTCTTTCTTTGAGAAAGATCCTGAGTGCCGGAGAACAACCCTTCATGAATTGCTCACTTATCATCAGGTCTCGCAAGCTAGCAAACTTTGTACCCGTTTTTCCCACTTGAAGCCAACGGTAAAAGTAGCCGGAGAGTCTTGCAGCATACCAGTCTCGTTTTCTTCGGGCTTCGCCTTACGAAATTTTTCGCGGTAGCCTTCCGCAGTATCGCGGAACCTCTGAAAAAGCGCCGCTTTCAGCTGATCATAATTCAGCGCAGCTGTTGGATCTAACCGGCCTATGACTGTTGGCGCTTCTCCTGTCATGCATAGGCTAAGCGTAAGAGCCCACTTTTTATGCGGCCACCTTTGACACGTTGCAACCCGTTCAAATCACCGTAGGTATGCATCGAGGTCGTCCCAAGCTTCATGGAAGGCCAAAATCAGTTTGTGAGGACTGCAGACCTTTGTCATTCCTCTGGCGCTCATGCTGGATCCTCCTTGTTTGTCAGCCACCATTAGCTGTACCCTGCTTGTGCTCTCCTTAAGTCGAAGCTTCAGCTTGAGGATCTTCAGCTCTTGTTCCTGCACCTTCTGCTGCTGCTCTAACCGCTTCTGCTGCCTCTCAGCATTTTATTTCGCGATCTCGCGCTCCTTAGCACGCTCATCTCGAGCTTCAACCCACTCTTGCTCAACCCACTCTCTGAGCTCCTCGTTCTCCAATCCTAGCTGTCGGCCAAGTGCAATTAATTTCTCCCTGTCCATGGCAAAGGCTCTGTCTGAGTAATGGCTTTAGATTTTAATAAGCCATTCTGGCAGGCTCGCCAAATGGGGTGATTCTTAGGCCCTCAGACGCAGAAATTCAAGACAAGGACGAGAAAAACATTTAGCGACTTCACACACAAAACAATCACAACACTGTGGCTATCTGTTCAACACACTGGCTCTATAATTCAGTCATACAGTCCTTATGTCTACGCGCACGCGAGTAAACCACCGCCCTCACTACTCGGAAGTCTAATTCCGTCGGGTGCCACTCACGGGCCCAAGAACCACCACAGTTGCCCTGTATCCAGCGATCGTTACTGGTTGTGTCGCTGCATCAAACATAAAAGTTGCCACTCCATGAGAGAATTGGAAACTTTTACCAACTGGCCAACTGGTCTCGGATGCAGCAGACATGATCAAACAAAACCAAAAATTTATTGAACTACTTGTACATCAACGATATTGAGAGCCGAATCAAATATGTCACTAGTGACCCGCTAAAGCAACCTTATACAATACTCACAAGATAATGTGAAGGCTGCGTCGCCAAAGCTCAACTCACCACGAGGGACCCACAGGAGACAACCCATGGCGCAGTCCCCTTGGGCCCATAATGGAAGACAATCGTTAGCACCAGCCTCCACACACCAAAAAAAAGCCGCTTATGTCTTATTTGCCGCCACCCAGCCTCACCGCCAGGTGTCACTCCTGATACTACTGTGCTAATGATAATGATTATGATAAAACACGTGCGAGCACCGTGCTGCCTACCGCTGAATGACTGTTAACCCTAAATGCGGCTTCTCTGCGAGACACATGCACGCCTCAAGACACAAACGACTTTACAGGGGTGATAGCACCCTCACACACTGCAACTTAAATAATACTCTAGTGCATATATATTAGACTTGTGCGAATAGTGAATTTTAGGTTCAAAGCGAATAAGGATTTTGGACGAGTAGCAGATATCACCTACAAAGAAAAATGGTCATAGTTATCATGACCTAGCTAATGCACTCAATTCTTTTTAATTGACATGAGTCCTCTATGCAAATTCCTTTTTTTTTTTTTCATTCATAGGAAGTTGAAACAACTTTGAGTAGTGGCAGGATTTGACTTTCGGTAGGATGCGAGTGATTCATAACATTTTAAAAATTTATTGTACTTAGAGCATATAAACCAACATAACAGGCTTTTATGCTTAAAAAATGATGAATCAATGTGAGGGTAATATAGTCATTTAAAGGGGTGCTGCCAAATTTTTTCAAGTAGCCATAGAATGGATTCACTAAATACACTTATTGCCTCACAAATTAACGACCGCAAAAAAATTTAGACTGTTCAGTACGAGCGGATATGCAAACATTTGTGACACGCTGCAATTGCATTCCATCTTCTCGTCCCGACAAAAGCGCTGCAAGTTAAGCAGGGAGGGATGGAATGGGGAAAAAAATAGGTCACATGCGCCTCATGACGTTGAGAACTTTTTTTTTCTTCGAATACGTGGCTTTTCAGTAAGATTGCACATGAACGCGTTGACAAGTGGTGGCCTCTCGCCGCGGCCCTAGTAACGGCTGAGGGCACCATGCTGTAATCAGGCGATGGCTGATACAATGGCTGTGACTAGTGATATTTGGGCTTGTGGGGTCATTTGCAGCGAGGAGAGAGCAATTTTCAGCTGCTGAGAATTTATGGTGAATTGCAGGCCGGGTGCTACACTGTAATATTTGGCTCCCGTCTTCTCAACAGCCTCGACCATCGATCGGCAAAGTTTTCTGGTCATGCTCAAAAAGTGTTGCAGGGCCGCTTCAAATTTGAAGTGGGGCAGAGCGAATTTTTTTGGATAGGTGTTTTCACAGCTTAGCACTTCTACACTGCAGTGAAACCACCTTTACAGGCAGTTAGATGTGGACTAATACACCATATTTTTTGGCAAAGATGGCAAGCTAGCAGCTGAAATTGTGATGTGGAATATCCAAGTTGGCTCAGTCACACACAAAGTTCCTTTTTTTCCATGAGCAAATCGAACTTTTTGTTTGAGCGCACCTTGCCCAGAATGGTGCGCACTTGGTATTGCTAAGCAGTTGTGTGCTGGCTCGGATCAATGTGTGCCTGTACTGGCTCCCTCAGGGGCGCAGTCTTCGCTTTATTTACCATCAGCTTGGGAATGCGTGAGGCAGCCTTGGGTGCCTGCGATGTGCATCAGGGATTTTTGGGGGGGGGGGGGGGGGGGGATTGCGTTTTCAGTTGCAACTTTTTTTAAAGCTGTGTTTCATTTACTACAAACTTCGGGATACAGCGAACGGATGCCGCGTCATGCTCAGGTTCGTTATATGCAGGTTTTACTGTATATATTTTACATAATATCTGTGACAGAAATACGTCAGGTGGACCCCGGCATAAAGCAGTTTCATCTAAAAAAAAAAGCGCACTGTGGGCAAATTGAAGAAAAAACAACAAAGAGTTATAAGGCAGCGGCAAAGCCTCATTAACGTGTGAAGTATGGCTTGAGTCATGCAATGTGAGCACTCTCTGGGTAGTGCTTTCGACGTTGGGGCAACATGGTTTTGTCTGGGACAGCCTCATACTTCCCATTGCTCACGCGACGCACCCCTTTGCAGAGCCCAAAGTAGTGATTTAGAAGCTTTTGGACAACCCTTGGTGGTGAACCGGAGGCTATACCCAAACTTGATCTCCTGGGTGATATTCAATTTGATTATGGGAAAGATTATAGTGGCTGTCATCCGCAGTTTATTGTTGCATGATGTGCTGGCGTGCCAACTGCTGGCGTGCTGCCAAGCTTTTTCGGCATATCAAGTAAGCTGCTCAGTGTCACATGAAAGCAGAGCATCGTAATCGTGTGGCAGCATAGCATCCGGCATGGTCTGGAGCGCGAGCCCATGGTTCATGAGCAGGTGGCAATAAGCAGGGACACAAGCGAGGTGCTCAAACAGCCACCTGGGTGGGCATGTGCTGCATTATTGTTCAAACAGATAGTCTCCGTACTGTAGTATGAAGATGTCAACTTCCAGGGTAAGCTTGACACTACGTACAGACATGTATGGGTGCATCTGTGACCTCATTTTTTGACAGTAAACAAACACTCGCTACAAATAATGCAAATAACTTAGACATTTCAAGACTTCTGTGATTCCTTTGTTTGCATAAGTGGAAAAAGCTGGGGCTCCTTTTTGTTTTGCATGGCGAGTGTTTGGTTACTCTCAAGTTAATATTTGCTCTTCTCGAGATGATTTCATGAACTTTGTACTTTATGCTGCCTTGTCTTATTTGTTGAGCCTTTATCGCTTACTTGCAGTAGACGCCAGGGACTGCACTCTGGCATTTTCATGGCACTGTCCTCTATGACCAGCCAGGACGCTGATGAACTCTGCTCTGGACTGAAAGCCTGCAGGTGAAGTTTGTCTGCTGTGACGTGAAAAGTACCAGCTAGCCCTGTAGCAGCTTGTAGTATTGCCTGATAATTGTCCTGGGTTCCATTGGCACTAGATTAGCCTTCAATGTATTGACAACGATTTCGACTTTCTTTATACATTTGGCAAGGTAGTACAATTTCAATAGAAAATGTGGTGCTACTTAGGGCACTGGTTGTGCATAATCAAACATTGTTGACTTAGATGTTGTTTAAAGGGGTGGTGGCATGGGCTAGTTAGTAGGTAATGATTATTGTTACAGTGCGAACTTGTGACAAGGACAAGAATGCTCGTCTTCGTGTGCTTTTTGTCCTTGTCCTGAATTCGCGCTAGTATAATAATAATTAGAAGCGGTGTTTGTATAGTGTCTCCTTGTAGAACAATTCAACCACACCACGCTCCCGATTGTGGTGAGTTTCTTCTCTGATTTTCGATGTCTGAACTACACAATTTTCGAGCGTTTTCACTTTCAGCTTGTAAATTGGGGACCAGCACAGTAGTTATAATGCGTGCACCTGTTTGTTGTATAATAAAACCTGTGCTTGTAATTGTTACCTTTTGGTATCTTTTAGGCATCTCCCTTGTTTTATCATATAAAAGCCACATCTCCAATCAACCCACATGCTTAACTACAACCTATTATTGTCAATGGTCAACTGAGGAAGGGAGAGACAGTGTAGGCTCTGCCCTCTGGTTGCCGAGTGATGCCACTGCCCCACTTTCAAAAACTTCAGGAGGTGAAGCGTGGGCCACAAGGTACCCATGCATGCACTAGCGCAATTACTCATGGTTGAAACCTTTAAGTTCCCCGTAAACTGTATTGCATGAAATATGTAAACAGGAACAATGAGTGCACACCATCAACATTTTTACTGTCAGACTGAAGTGACCTTCTGTACCTAGATACAGAACCATATTATAACACATGACAGCAAGTACGCGTAAACAAGACCACTCAGTAAAAACATCTCATGCCATACTTATAGAGCTACTGTTGATATGTAGTTGCTGCCATGTGCACTGTAGTTTTGTATCTAAGTAAACAAGGTCACATCAGTCTGATAATAAAAAAATGTTTATATTGTGCTCCGTGTTTGTGTCTCTGTATTCCTGTCTACGTCTTTTACGCACAACAATCTGTAATTAATGGTAAACCAACAAGCCCTAGTCTAACCTTCGTAGTGCACACCTGTATATGAATGCTGTAGATTAATTATGCAACCTGAAGGAACGAGGATAACGTGTTTAAATTAACAGGAGTTCTGCTTGCTGCAAGAAGAACAGATGAAGACAATTAAAACAACACACTGACCACGATTAAAAATAAATAAAAGCACGTTTTCTCCCTCCTATGGGAGCCTTATTCACAAATGAAAAATGACTCGGTGAGCGCTGCAGTTGTGCATGTTGTAAAATGTGACTTAAGCTATGTGCGCGTGCGTGTAGAAAGTTTCCATCATTGCGATAGAGTGTGTTCGCCATTGTCTGGATTGTGATAGATTCGAGATGAAGCCGAGATGATCAGCTCTTTTTCCTTTCTTTCATTTTTGTGTTATCCCAGCCTATTTTGTGTACAGGCAGTTCCGTGCGCTCAGCCATTGGTTCGATGAGACCTTCTTTTTATTCTGCTACACAGTATAAAACCACTCATGTGAAAGGCAGTTGTTCCATTTAAGATGACCAGTTAAACTTTTGTTTAAGAGATTTTTATGTACAGTCGAGCTCCGCTACAAAGAACGCCGCTTCAACGAAATTTCCGCTACAACGAAAAATTAACGGTTTCCCGTCGGCAGTCCATAGGACTCAATGCATAAATATTGTCACCACAACGAACACTTTTTTTTCTGCTGTCCCGCTTCAACGAAACTTCATGATGCAATTCCAAGCTCAGATATTTATTGCTATACAGTAAACACAGTCTTTAACACTTTGATGCATTTTCAGAACCTGAAAATAAGCGACGAAGTCTAAAACACGCATTGGCACCACCAGAAACCACCGCTGTGCAGCAAGCTTGGGCGCCGCCATTGCTCTATAGCGATAGCAATGAGACTGCCCTGCTTTTGCCACTGGCGTTTTTTTGAGACGCAGACGATCCGAAGCTGAACCTCAGTCGCTCAGTTAATGCTTTTCTTTCACGCAGCTGTGCGAAATAATGCCTTTTTCGATTCCAATGTGTATAATTTCGTTTGTCCTTGCCCATTGTAATAACTAATCAGAGAAACTGTTCGTCCGCATTATCAAGAAAATCAGCTAGCCGCGAGTGGTGGATGCTAAGAATGACATAGAATAAGGCAAAAGTCACCGCTCCACGATACCCTGCCTCCATGTTGGCGTTGTAGGATACTCTTTGACGGTGGACAGCTGCTGGTGTTAACGTGTTAATGCAGCTGTTCGGTTCGTTCGCGAAAGTGGTTGTAGGCCTTGTTTCAGCTTGCTTTTCATGATGGCCTCGCGATGCATGGTGAGAGTCGCGTCGTGACGCTGCTGGGAAAGTATAGGAAGCAGCGGACACTTTTTTAGTTTTGAGAATAAACGTTCCTTTGTTTTGCTAGCTCAGATCAGCTATATTTTTTCCATTTCACTACAACGAAATTTTCGTTTTAAGGAAATTTTTCCCGTGCCCTGTTAGTTTCGTTGTAGCGGGGTTTGAGCATACTAAGAGTCTACTGTGCTCGATAATTCTAACTGCGTGCGCACCTCAGTTGGTTGAATATGCCTAGGTGAATAGTCAATTGAAGTGTTGAAGCAAATGCAAGGCTAATGTAGGTTTCGTTAAAATATTTCTAATAATGTAGCATATATAATGCATTCTAAAGAAAAAGTGAGCATTTTATTGTGACCCAATTTACTTAGAACTAGGCTTGTACGAATGTAACTCAATTTGGATCACTGTGAAGTTGAGGCAAATGTAATAAAGCAGGATTTGAATAGCATTAGGGGCCATGTTATAAGTGGTAAAATATGTTACATTTTGTTTCAAAGGTAGTTACATGTGGTAAAATACGTCTGTTCATTTGTTTTGAATACTTCAATATATTGGAAATTTTAAATTCATGTTGAAAATTTGAATATTTGATGCACTTGAATATTCACCCAGGCCTATCAAAGTACTCTTAATAAACCATGACTGCATGGGAATACAGTACTGGCGTAATAACTGCTATAATGGAGCATCGTAAACTATTGATTTCATGTTCTCATACATGTACACTGGCACATGTGTAACATCTTAAGTATGAGTAAAGGAAGGTCCAATTCAAGGGATGTGCCTTTCACTGTCGGAAAACATCCCTAGTGTAACACAATAAAAAACAATTTGGTTGTCTTATACAGCAAGCTTTTGCGGCGTTATAGGGATCTTTTTATAGTTTTTAAACTGCTATCATTCACCACTGAGCCAATGCTTATGAACCTCAGGGAAAAAAAATCAACAAAACAGTAAAATAAGGTGCACATGCAAGCTTCTATTGCACAACAGCAGTTTAGTGATAACGTCTCATACAGAGGGGTGTTTCATCATGCAGCTCTACAACACCTGCCACCAAAATTTTTTGTTATTATGCTGTGCCCCATTCTGCTACACAGATTCTGGAATTGGGGTCATGGACATATTTTCGTTGTTTAAAGGCTCCATGTTGCATTAACAAATAGGCAGGCTGCATAAGAGCAAAATATGACAGGACAGTGGAGACCCTGGGTTACGCAACTGTGGTACTACTAATGAAAATATTAAGGATGTAACAAGACTTATCCAACAGTAACTCGCACAGGCCATGCTTGCTTCAACTTTGGGGTGGGCATTTCTTTCTTCTATTTTGAATTTTCTGGGCTGAACAACTTTAATAAGTGGGCTCCCATTGCTGCGGAGATTACATAGTTGTCCAGCAACCTTAGGCTGCGTCGCATTCTGAGTGTTCTATATGATAAACCAGCGTTGCTTATTATATGATACGAGTGCCACAGCATCATGTGGCCTCTCATGTCTGGGTGCGTCGTTTTCTATAGCAAGGCTTAGGCTTAGCGTCACCTACATGGTGTCAAAAGTGCACTTCAAGCCATGGAAGGACCCTGTCCGCCAGACGATGTTATATTTTCCAGGAACATCGCTCAGTGCTAGCGTAAGTTTCATTAGCGTTTTGAACTTTACCTTGAAGCCGAGGAAGGCGAGAAGGAACGCAATCAAAAGCAGAAAGTGGTGTTACTACTTCATGTTGCAGGGCTGAAAGCAATCGAAGTATTCGACACTGTCGGTTGCACGATGACAGAGAAGGAGAGCTATGACACATTCGTACAAAAGTTTGAAAGCTATTGCCAGCCTTGCATGAATAAAACTTTGGGACAAAAGCACGTCCAGGCGTACGGCGAACGTCTTTAAAGCTTCTTAAAAGGCCTGCTATTTAAAGCACAGAGTAGCAAGTTCAAAATTTTGCATGAATCTATGATATGCAATCGAACTGTGTGCAGAACGACTGATGAGCAGCTTCAACAGCGCCTACTCAGAGAACACTCACCATAGCTGCAAAGTACAATTAAGTCGGCGCAATCTGCAAAAATAGGAGTAAATCAGAAAAGGGTAGAGCAGACTCCGGAAACAAAAGCTGTTGAAGCTATCAGCAATGAAAAAGTGTCACGCAAGGAAAAGATGCCAAACCAAAGAGCATGCAACAAGTGCAAGAGGTGGCTTGACCCGAAAAAATATCCGGCATACGCTCAGCGATACAGAAGGTGGGTCCGGAAGAATCATTTTGCAGTGGCCTGCAGAAAGAAGAAAGCGGTCAACATTCTCGAAGAGACACTTAGCAACTAGTCGAAAGTGCAGTAAGAAATGTTGCAAATAGTGTCCAGCAAAAGTTCAGAATGGGTGATAAATGCAACCATAATAAACAGTTAACTGGACCTTAAAGTGCACACAGGGTCACAGGGGAACTTAATCTCTGTGAGTAGGCTCAAGAATTTCGGAGGACACAAGTACGAGCTT